GCTCAACGAAAGTTGAGCCCACACTGATGTAATATTCGAATACAAAACACAAACATTACACTAATTGCAGTTCAAATATCGAATACACTAGATACCACGCTGTTAATGGCTGAAAACGAGATAAAAAGAACTTAATCAAGTAAAAAGATACAAATATTTGCTTGTGGCCTCAACTCTCGTTGCGCCATCTATAACTAGTTTTTTTTTATCCACGAGGAAGATCTTGGCTTGTATCTCACCTGATGGTAAGTCAATGATCAGGCCGAAGGTGGAAGCGAGCTTCACCCGGAATCCGCAACGTATAAGTAATTATTTTTAGCTTATGCCACATCTAGTCACTCTATATCAGTAGCAAGATTTTAAATTACACTCCCCCTTATTGTGAGCAGTTTGCATATCGTTGTAATTGGTTCTGATGGATCCAGCAGAGGGCGCTGGAATACAAACTGCTTTAATTACATAATTTACATCGACCTGACATTGCTTGTAAGTGTCAGTTCAAATTGTGTGCAGACAATTGAAATCCTTGTTGCAGAAAAGATTGTACATAGTGTTTTTCTGCAGTAATATTTTTAAATATAAATTTAGAAAACCTAAATTATAGTTACATGCTTATTAGACAAACAACGTCTGTATTATAAATTAACCAACTTAAACCAGTTTGTAAACGAGTAAGTATCCCGGTAGAGCCCAGCTTATTTGCAGTGTGTGTCTACCTTTACTCGTATAGCATCGTTAGTACGTTTGAGACGATGTTATTTATGATGCTCACTACAAATACAGCGGTTCATTAAGGTGTTTTGGCAAACCCCTGGACAGATAACTAGGGGATTGAGCCAATTGAGAGAAACACCGCTGTTATGAATAGTCCCGCATTGGATTTCATTGGAAGTTTGTTTTGCACGATGTTTTTCCACTTATTGCTTGTTTACTGATTTTACCACTCGTTCCGATGAAAAGAAATATTCAATACAAACAGGTAATAATGGACAAAACATCAAAGAGTGTTTCACAAATGAACAAATAGAAAATTACCGAAGCAAATTGACTTTGGTTTTTGTAACGGTTTTTTCAGAAGTCTGGTCAACGTTCAATCAATCAAAAGGTTGTTTAGAAAATTGTTTCGTCTGGGCCTAATCTTTTATTTTTCAGGACCTTTACATTTCTCATTATAGGTGTTCCTCTGTATGATAATAAAAAAATGCTATTGTTATTTCATCATGTTACCTTGCGATTTTTTATTTATTTTCATAAATTATTTAATATTGATTAATCTGTTTTTTGTTGAAGAATTAAGTCTTAGACATAAAAGTTCTCCCTTTTCCTCTCAAAACCCTGAAACCTTTTTGTATACCAAAATGGAGCAATAAAGAATTTGAATTTGACCTTCACAACCTGCTCAATTTCACGCTGAAAACCATCTGAAAACCTACAAATCGCCAACGCCTATGCGCGAACATGTTTCCCGTTTGATTCCATCAGTTTACGGTTTCAAGAAGCCATTTAAAATTCCCCATAAAATTCACAATCTAACCCCTGTGTTTTGGCAAGCTCTATATCTTTAGCGCTGTTAGATTTTTATTCGTGGCCCGTTGAAGGTTGAATCAGTTTTATGGGTGGAACGTGAGCCTGGACTGCTACTTAGCCAATCGTAAATCTAGTAGAACGATGTACCTAGCTAGTTTATATGCCACTAGCGGTCTCCCCCGACGGTGCTCGAATGGAAGTGTTGTGTATAAAGTATCAGATTTGATGGCTCTGCGACGTTTATAGATATTTTGCTTTAAATTTTCACGGTCACTTACAGCAAAAATGATAAAACTTACGCTGTTTTGCACTGACTACTTTTCAGTTCAGTTAATATAGTTAAGTTCAAACTTCAAGCGTCTAGAATTTCTCGAACTTATTTGAGTTAGCGTTCTTTTTCTTAGAATTTTGTCAAAGAATATCACTAAGTACGGGCTAAAAATATTGTATGGATTAGCATATTTTATTTAAGTAAACATTTAGATTTGTGATCCCGTTTTACCCCCTTAGGGGTGGAGTTTCGTAAAATCCTTTCTTAGCGGATTCCTACGTCATAACGTCTACCTGCATGCCAAATTTTAGCCCGGTCCGTCCAGTGGTTTGGGCTGCGCGTTGCTAGATCACTATGTCAGTCAGTTAGTCAGTCAGTCAGTCAGTCAGTCAGTCAATCAGTCAGTCAGTCAGTAAGTCACCTTTGAGTTATATATAATATATAGATATCTCAATGAAGACTACATCATACTAAAAAAATTCTGAATACCTTTGTTACAATTTGTCTTCAATTTCGNTTTTGTATTTATTTTTCATGGGGTATTTTTTTTATAATATTTTATGAAAATTATTACACAAATGGAATCTTAACTCGATACCTATTAACACCTTAATGGATCGGACGGTGTTTCCGTTACATATTGTATATAATATATAGATATCTCAATGAAGACTACATCATACTAAAAAAATTCTGAATACCTTTGTTACAATTTGTCTTCAATTTCGCCGAAGTAAAAAATCCTCGACCAGCCGACCCAGAGTGAGCTCCGCCATAAAAGCGAATTTAAAATTGTTCAGTTCTGCATGGTAAGCACTGATTCGGGTCGGGGCAGAACGGAAAACGAAAAAAGTGGGGAAACCGGGAAAAAAGAGGCAGGTATCGGCCGAAAGCCGACATTCCCCCGCTTTTTTTCAGCATTCGTTTCAAACTATTGACTGCCCCGCGTTTCACAGTTGCCTCTTGGAGTTGGTGGAAATTGCTTGTGGGGTTGTGGGGGTTTTTCGCTTATTTCACAAGTTTGAGATACGGTGGACGGAGTTCGCCGTATGTTCCGCGATTTGTACTGGCTATTTGTTATTTCGATTGTGAAATCCATTTTACTTGTATGCAGATGGATATGCCACTAATATTTTCACTGTTTTAGAAATTCCTACACTGAACTGACTGAACCGTCCCACCCGTGACATTGACAGGGGGGTGCCACCCAAATATAGATGACCCACGCTGAACTGTCCCACCAAACTCAATGACAGGGGGGCGCTACCATCGTTCAACTATATGGTTTCCAACATGGCAAAAATATAGAATACCTGTGGGTCTAGACAAAGTGCAAATTATAATCGCAAACCAGTCGAAAAGTGGTCGAAAAGCCCCTTTTTTGTATGAAGTTTTGACGGATTCGATTTTCGATTCGATCAAAAAGTGCGTTTTGTCTAGGGGGGCGGATCGCTGGTTTCGATTTTTGCCATGTTGGACAACCATACAATATGACATCACCGGAGGGCGCTAATATCAATTGACTTAAGCTGACTTTCACTTGACGTTAGAAAATCGTTGGATTACTATAGCCCTTAACTTCCATTATAACCTCTATAGTCTGTTAAAAACTGATAAAATATAAAACCTTTTTGCCAAAAAATAATTTAAAAATTGCATATTTCACTACAAAGGTTGGTGCACACGGGTTGTCCTCCACGATGATATAAAAATTTTCATAATGCGGCGGACAGATGATGCCATATTAAATTTTAAATATCGAACGCTCGGCGGCGTCGTCCGTTCAATTTACCGTGAAATCCATCGTAATAGGCTAAGCTCAGACAGGCGACTTAGCCGCATTCAAAATTAAAACGTATTTCTGATAGAAAATAGGGATTTTCTTGTCAGTTACTTTGGGTACATAGTTTTTCATACAGTTTTTTGTTGCAAGTAATACAATAAAAGGTTTTTAAGTGATAATAACAAATAATACAAGAAAATCAAAATGTTATTGTTATTTGTTACTTTATTGGTACAATTTGAAATAAAAGTACCTCATTATTTTGAAAGAATTCCAAAAAATACATTATACCAATTGGTATTGGCCAAATTTGGCATAAAAAAATTTCATTGCTTAAGTAGCTTTACACGTATTATAATGGGTGTCAGCCACAAATTGGCTTTTTTAAGGTTGTGAACCTACTGAAAAATCTTAATTTTAATAATTTTCCTAATTAACTTTACAAAGTGAATGCAAATTACAACTTAGCATAATAATAATTGACAAAGCACAGTAGAATAGTTATAAAAAGTAGTTTAATGGAAAAAAAATCTATAAAAAATTCAAAATAAGATAGTCAGAGTTCAACATACAAATTGCCTTTTCTCTTTTACCCTGTATTTTCCCCAATATTAAGACACACAAAATTCAGCAGCAATCAATGGGTAAACCTTCTGTTTCTTTATACTTGAAGCCTTTTAAGTTTCCTTACACAAAAAGTAATCAAAGAATTTTTCGTGTTCTACATAAAGAAAAGCAGAAACCGATCAAAATTCAGCGGAGTTGCCACAGAATAAAGATATTGTGGAAATACCTTATATTAAAATGTAATAAAATTCCTCAACGCTAATATAATATTATGTGCCCTGGCCGAACGTAAGGGCCGGTACTGAAGCAAACTTTTATCTATTTATTTTGTACAATGGACATCTTAAAAATAGCTCAAACTTGCCGTCCTTTCTAAGAAAACATAATTATCGGCTGGCGATGAGAATAATTAATGTCAAGAACCTAAAAAAAAAGCAAAAAAAAACTTCAATTATATTTTCCATCAGGAACGTCGAACAGTTTCATAGCTGAAACGCTTGACAATACGGAGTTTATTTACTTAGCTAAGCAGCCAATTCGCATTTTCCATTTTACTTTCCCGGAAATTAGAGACGTTTATTGTAATTTATTTTTGTTCTAAAATTTTTTAACTGTAAATCATAAAATTTGTCGCTGTATAGTTAGTCTACACGGACAACAAATATGATTTAAAAGATAAATATAAACACTATACATCGTGCTTAAAGTTTTTATAAAAAAAATGCATTCCATTAAAAACGATACTGTGTACACCACTCCTAACTCGCAAGCAAAGCCGCTGCGCGCCGCCACCGTCGATCAATCGATACGGTTGCTTGGCAACGATCATATTACAAAATAAACAATCACAGTCGAGCCCCGTTAAACAAATTTACCCTCTTATTTTATTACTTGTGTCAACATTTTAGATCTTTATTGGATTATTTATTTGTAACATGTATTTCTGATCCGCCAACATGGTGTTGCTGCCTCCGTGTGCCCCGGATCAGTGTGGGAAGGATTTCAGACATTCGCTAAAGAAACCGAGCCCCAACTATCCTCACGGGCATAAGCTGAAGAAGCCGAGGGTAGTGCCAGCTTTCACGATACAAGGTAACTTGATTTGAGCTTATTGTGAGGCTTTTAAAATGGTGGAGTGAATATACTTTTTAGTTGCTAGTAAAAACCTGTGACTTTAAACCAGTGTAGCCAGTCGCATTCGTTTTAGATTTTTAATCACGATATTTTCGTCATTTCCGTGAAAAAATTAAGTGTGGGGTGCTCTTACTTTGCTGTTGCCGTGCTTTGTTTCACCCGAATCTAAAGGAATTTTAACAATACAATCAATTTCCACCAATAGGTAAAACTTTATCAAGTAGGTACTGCCTTATTGCCTTGCATCGCTCGCTATTACACGAAAAAAACAGTGTACGGTACGCACATTCAAAGAAAGGAATGGTGGATGGAAAGTCACTGGTTGCTATGACAAAGAGTTTATTGCAATAACTAACACTATTACAATATCGAAACTACTTAGGTTAAAATGGTGCGAAATGGTGAAAAGGTATGAGTGATTACGCGTGGTTGGTTTGGTGACCGAATAAACACTAAATGTAAAATCAATGAAATATCGAAATAAAGTTTGCTGTAAGTTGATGCCACCGCGCCGCGGTCGGCGCGTATTGCTGACATAAACAACCAACTTTATCCAACAAGGTACGCACATTCAAAGAAAGGAATGGTGGATGGAAAGTCACTGGTTGCTATGACAAAGAGTTTATTGCAATAACTAACACTATTACAATATCGAAACTACTTAGGTTAAAATGGTGCGAAATGGTGAAAAGGTATGAGTGATTACGCGTGGTTGGTTTGGTGACCGAATAAACACTAAATGTAAAATCAATGAAATATCGAAATAAAGTTTGCTGTAAGTTGATGCCACCGCGCCGCGGTTGGCGCGTATTGCTGACATAAACAACCTAAATAAATTGTACGTTCAAAGATCGTACAAACAGGTTGGCAAAATATTCAACAACCAATTTAGGTCACTTTCACAAATTCCTTACTATTCTTACTTGCCTTCCCCTTTCTTTATATAAATAAATATTCTGTTCTGTTGATAGCACTTCAGAAGAATACAAGAGTGCTACCACCTCCAAAATGTGGAGTCTTCGACCCTCTGCCAGTGAGGCCTACAATGTTCCGGAAGTGCTACCAGAGAGGCGAGTTTCCGGTGTCCATCGAATTCACAAACTTCGGGAAGAAACTTGGTTGGAAGGTAAATTGTGTAATTGTTATGGTAGGCAAATATCTCATAGGTATATCACTGATATTGATATACTAATTACTAAGTATCTCTACCTAATTAGAGAAATTGATTTTTCTAAGCTATGAATTCAAAGGCCTGGTGGCTGTTATGTTTTGCATTAAGGGGATTATTGCCGATACTCGCCACGCTTGGCAGGCGGGTTGGCGAGCGCAGTTTTTTATAAGTTTCGCACGCAGACGCTGCTGCCCATCTCGTGCTACAGGATTTTGTCGCCTCTTACGACACGCCTCCTGTTGGCGGTGGGGAATTGTATTCTTTACGGCCGTCCCCACAGGGCAATGAATTTCAAATCGAAATGTAAAACCATTTTGAAAATGGTTTCATGTTTTTTATTACTTACCTATAATGTAAAAAGTGAGAGAGTAACAAGACTTGACTTTTTGTTTTATGCCCAGGTGCCAATAGAAAAGCTGGACTTCCACCACTACCTGCCGATGTTCTTCGACGGGTTGGCTGAAGGCAAATATCCCTTCAACTTCATCGTGGAGCAGGGCATCAATGACCTGGTGCAGAAGGGCTCGTACAAAGTGCTTCCAGTGGTCCCTCAGCTCATCATTCCTATAAAGAGTGAGTATGGGCTTTTTTTTATCATAGTTTCGTTTTAGATATCGTCTTGATATTTTAAGAAAATAATAAACCGTAAGTAAGTGAAACGGAATAGCCTGTAGCTTCTAAAGCTTCAACCACACAAACCGTCGCTTGCCTCTCTAACTGACGTATCTGACATTTTTTTTGAAACTGAGCTATCTACACCATCTTAATCAATTTCGCTAGACGAATCGATCTGTCTAATTGCCTGAAAATTTTTCAAAATGTCAGTTACGTCAGTTAGAGAGGCAAGCGACAAAACGCGTGCAGCCCCCCTAGACAAAACGCACTTTTTGATCGAATCGAAAATCGAATCCGTCAAAACTCCATACAAAAAAGGGGCTTTTCGACCACTTTTCGACTGGTTTGCGATTATAATTTGCACTTTGTCTAGACCCACAGATCGCCATCACCGGCGCGATCAAAGGCCAATGACAGGTTGCGCGTCCTATGACAGTTCACGCGACCAGTTTTTTCCCTATGACCGCGTCGGCGATGGCGATTTGCACGCGTTGGTGTGGTTGAAGCATAACTCTACCTACTCGTCCTAACTAAACAAACTCTACGCCGTAGTCAAAATGTAATAAAACTTTTTTTTATCGCAAAGTAATGAACGGTTTTTTTTTTTATAAACGGCTGTGCTGCAATTTTTTGACTAAGGTGTAGCGTTTGTCTAGTTAAAGATTGGAGTATTCTTCTTCGTCGTGTTGACTGACAACAAACCTACACAGTGTAAGCCCAAAACTCCGCCACAAGAATGGCGTTAGGCATTGGGTTAATGTTAAAAGCTTGGCTCTATCTATAAGATATCTTACAACTATTTCATAGTGCGAGCGATTAGGGTTTCGTTTTGGCAACATTTTACATGAAAATGTTTTTGGTGGGTTTGATATGTCAACATCTTTGTAGCTTTAAAACAAATATTTCAATATATATTCAAACCCAGTCAAAGCCCAGAATTCCACCTATTCTTGTTGAATTATTTGGCGGCATATCAGATCTTTCACAATCAGATGCCTCTTGCAACCTGATCTTATCTATTTAGATTGAATTGCGCTCCAAAACACGTCAAAAATAATGAAATCCCGCGATTTCGGAATTATTGTTTAAGCAGTGGCGGAGTATTGGGTTACAGCTAAGGAGATCTAATTTTTCAGAGTGTTTGAGATAAAGAAAATGCCTTAAAACAAAGCGAGTTGAATTCGCTGGCGTTTTAGCTAAATTAATTTTATGACTTATGTCACTAGGCTTCTATTGTATTGATTTAGATAGATATAAGTTGAGTCATGAGTTATTCTAGTTGTATACATTTTGTGATTGGGAACCCTCTGCGCTTATCTGACAGGTAAATCTGGAAAAGACACCGGCGCCTACCAGCTTAGGCAGTCTCAATAAAGTGGTTCTAGTTTTTTATAGTCCCGCCGACCCTTCATACTAAGCGAAATATGCTCGTTTTACACCACAATACGAGTAGTCTAGCGGTCGCAGGGTTCGAACCAGCGATACTTTGATATCGAGACGGTCAATCTGACACTTGGTTAATGTCGTTTATTATTATATTCTTTTACGTTTTTCACAGATGCCCTAGCCACGAAACGCTCTAGCGTTATCTGCCATGCTCTCAAGTGTATCCAGATGATCGTGACCGGCTGTGATCGGGTCGGTGAAGCGCTGGTGCCGTACTACAGGCAGATATTGCCTACCCTCAACCTGTTCAAGGATAGAAACCGTAAGTAATTTATTGAGTATCAACAACCTACCCTCTGCTTCGCACAGTTGTAATGTTTTAAACCTCCACATATTGTCATGGCTCTATACTTAGGTTCTTTCAAATTATACAATTCGAACAGGGCGTCAGTCGTTCGTTTGCAAGACCAAAATACGATCTGTTGTTAATTATGAATTTTCTAGGCAGCTCTCATACAATTTTCGGTCCTGCAAACGGACGTTTGCAAGTCCGTTCATGAACTGTTTTACCGTGCTAGCGATATCAGCAGTAACTCCAATATTTTGCTGTTAAAAAGACTCCTGTCAGATCATCTGAAATAGAGCTCATTATAGTGTTGCCACAAAATGGAGTTATAGCCTGACCAGGAACATAAAAACCCTCGCCATGTTGCGGAAAATTAATGGTACTAATTTCTTTTAATGGCAACAGTAACTGAAAACTTCATTGACATGTCACCTTGCATGTCAGTCTATTGTTGTCAAAGTGTAAACAAACTTTATTTTAAATATGCGCAATTGATTTNCTCAATGGAGTATGGGTGTATTTTATCATAGTTTCGTTTTAGATATCGTCTTGATATTTTAAGAAAATAATAAACCGTAAATAAGTGAAACGGAATAGCCTGTAGCTTCTAAAGCTTCAACCACACAAACCGTCGCTTGCCTCTCTAACTGACGTATCTGACATTTTTTTTGAAACTGAGCTATCTACACCATCTTAATCAATTTCGCTAGACGAATCGATCTGTCTAATTGCCTGAAAATTTTTCAAAATGTCAGTTACGTCAGTTAGAGAGGCAAGCGACAAAACGCGTGCAGCCCCCATAGACAAAACGCACTTTTTAATCGAATCGAAAATCGAATCCGTCAAAACTCCATACAAAAAAGGGGCTTTTCGACCACTTTTCGACTGGTTTGCGATTATAATTTGCACTTTGTCTAGACCCACAGATCGCCATCACCGGCGCGATCAAAGGCCAATGACAGGTTGCGCTACCTATGACAGTTCACGCGACCAGTTTTTTCCCTATGAACGCGTCGGCGATGGCAATCTGCACGCGTTGGTGTGGTTGAAGCATAACTCTACCTACTCGTCCTAACTAAACAAACTCAAATCAAATCAAATCAAATCAAATCAAATCAAATTCGTTTATTTGTGGAACATAGGTAAATAACATAGAAACTCTACGCCGTAGTCAAAATGTAATAAAACTTTTTTTTATCGCAAAGTAATGAACGGTTTTTTTTTTATAAACGGCTGTGCTGCAATATTTTGAGGTGTAGCGTTTGTCTAGTTAAAGATTGGGGTCTTCTTCTTCTTGTCGTTTTGACAACAAACCTACGCAGTGTAAGCCCAAAACTCCGCCCCAAGAGTGGCGTTAGGGATTGGGTTAATATTAGAAGCTTGGCTCTACCTATAAGATATCTTACAACTTTTTCATAGTGCGAGCCATTATGGTTTCGTTTTGGCAACATTTTACAAGAATATGTTTATGTTTTTAGCTATCTTATATATATCTTCGTAGCTTTATAACAAATATTTCAATACATATTCAAACCCAGTCAAAGCCCAGAATTCCACCTATTCTTGTTGAATTATTAGGCGAGATATCAGATCTCTCACAATCAGATGCCTCTTGCAACCTGATCTTATCTATTTAGATTGAATAGCGCTCCAAAACACGTCAAAAATAATGAAATCCCGCGATTTCGGAATTATTGTTTAAGCAGTGGCGGAGTATTGGGTTACAGCTAAGGAGATCTCATTTTTGAGAGTGTTTGAGATAAAGAAAATGCCTTAAAACAAAGCGAGTTGAATTCGCTGGCGTTTTAGCTAATTAATTTTATTACTGATCTCTAGTGCTTCTATTTAGATAAAAGTTGAATTATAAGTATTCTCATTGCATACATTTTGATACTGGAAGCCCTCTAAGCTCGCCTGTCAGGTAAATCTGGAAGAGGCACCGGCGCCTACCAGCTTAGGCAGTCTCAAAAAAGTGTTTCTAGTTTTTTTAAGTCCCGCCAACCCTTCATACTAAGCGAAATATGCTCGTTTTACACCACAATACGAGTAGTCTAGCGGTCGCAGGGTTCGAACCAGCGATACTTTGATATCGAGACGGTCAATCTGACACTTGGTTAATGTCGTTTATTATTATATTCTTTTACGTTTTTCACAGATGCCCTAGCCACGAAACGCTCTAGCGTTATCTGCCATGCTCTCAAGTGTATCCAGATGATCGTGACCGGCTGTGATCGGGTCGGTGAAGCGCTGGTGCCGTACTACAGGCAGATATTGCCAACCCTCAACCTGTTCAAGGATAGAAACCGTAAGTAATTTATTGAGTACTAGCGGCCGCCCGCGACTTCGTACGCGTGGATCCCGTTTTACCCCTTTTTCCCGAAATTTCTTTGCTATAAACCTCACGGAGCCCGAGACCTTTCCAACGAATGGAAAACCGTAGAAATCGGTTCGTGCGTTCTGGAGTTATAGCATCAGGGAGGAAAACCCGACTTATTTTTATATAGTAGATCAGCAACCTACCCTCTGCTTCGCACAGTTGTAATGTTTTAAACCTCCACATAGTCATGACTCTATACTTAGGTTCTTTCAATTAGACAAACTAGACTAGACTACTACTAGACTAGACTAGACTACCTACTCAAAGGAGTAGGACTTCAGTCATTCGTTTGCAACACCAAATACGATTTATTGTAGATTGTCAATTTTATTCCAAGGCAGCTCTCATAATAATGTTTTGCAAACGGACATTTGCAAGTCCGTTCATGAACTGTTTTACCGTGCTAGCGATATCAGCAGTAACTCCAATATTTTGCTGTTAAAAAGACTCCTGTCAGATCATCTGAAATAGAGCTCATTATAGTGTTGCCACAAAATGGAGTTACTGCTGACTTCGTTAGCACGGCAGTGCTGGTAATTGACATTTTTATGCTAACGCAGTTCTTATACAATTTCCCGTCTGCAGATCTGCAAACGAACGACTAACATCTGGCCCCAAACCTCATATTTAAAAGAGCCCTTTATACACGTTAATATCATAAAAACCGCAATAAATTCTCATGAAAACCAAACTTATTTTCTGAACCAAATTTTAATATCTCTATCTCTGTACTGTATCTTATGTCACCTTTAAACATTACATAACTCGCTAACAAAACGTTAGATGCAATAAGATATGCGAAGCCCTAACCCCAGCCGCAAGTATGTGACGCGCTGACGAGGCGTGAAGGTCGCAGACAACGCAATGTTTTACGTTACCTAATTTAGGCATATTTGCATAGGAGAAATGTGTCCTATCTTTTGATTAAGAGATGAAACTTGATTATCAATAAATGGGATTCAGTTTGAGAATTAATATTTTGATATTTTTTACATTATACATATTTGATTTGTGGGCTTTTTGTATGACGCCCCATAAACTTTTTAGCGTTCTCAGACATTTTTAATATCAACAATGGCCGTGTATTTTAGTGATGTAATATACTTGTACTATAAGGTAGTAAGGCCATTTTCAGAGGTCTAGTAATAATTTTCTTCATTACAATTATGTGTAATTAGTGGAAAGTAAATCCGAAAACGTCATAGCCTTATCTTTCAACTTTATTAGTAAAACCTTTTGTTTGTCATTAGTGGAAAGAAAATCCTGAAACATAATCTCACCTTTCAACTTTGAGGTAAAATATTTGGCTTATGAATAAACTAAACTTTTTCCTGTACCTATATGTAATATAAAAGCTGTATGTTTCTTTCATTAAATAAATAAATAAATAAAAAACTTTATCCAACTACAAGGTCTACAAGGTACTTCATCATAATCATAATGACGTATTCATCATGTAAATTGATTCAAGTTATATTCGGTAGGTGTGATAACTCGCGTTTAACGATATAATTTGGCGCTGGCATCGCATTAGCATAGTGCCGGCTAACAAGATTATTGTTGTTGACTGTATCGCTATACACGTGTTTATTTCACCTGTTACTTGACCTATAACAGGGAAACTAGCGGTGACAGTTTTCCATTAGCTGACAATGTTGAAGGCATAAGCAACAGCATCGATTTCTTAATAGCAGGAATGTAAATAAAAGCAAATACTTATTGCCTTATTATTTACACCAGACGGAAAATCAAGCTTTCAAGTTTTTCACCCAAATTGTTTTCCTCCCAATGTTTATTTCAAAGAACTCTCGAAAACGTGCATTGAGCTGCTTAAATTTTTGTGTTTTTTGTAATTATTATTGTCAGTTTTATGTGGTATGCAATAAAGGGTCTCTATTTATTACTACCTAATTGATTTAATTTTATTTATGTCAATTGAGGGTCACTTAGAAACCATCATCCCAAAAACAATGGCCCTCCAAGCATTTCGGAATAATAAACTACGCGGTTGGCTTACGCGTCGCTCGCGGGCGTGAAATAATTCGCGTGTCACGCAGTTGGTAACACATAATTAATCCTCGCTGACAAGTCTGTTAGGTCGTAAACAACGTTCGCGTCGTGTCAATTATTTTGCGCATGATCGATGCGCATCACCCGCGGACAAATGGCTGCTCCGGTTGCTCGTGATACCTTTGTTTGGGGATAGTTTGGAGTGCCATTAATGAAGTGTGGTATTGGTAAACACTTGCAGTGATGATGTTTTACTCCCATCGTGTATGCAGATGATACTTAATTTGCGGAGTTTTGCGTTTAAGAGGCTGATTTTTTGTAGATAAAAATGGTTGGTTCTAAAAAGACCTCGATTAATTTTTAGCGAATGCTTGAAAAAAATAACAATACAACAACGTGTTAGCTACGCAATATTGCAAATGGTTATTTTGATATGACTCACTTTGTTTTAAAACATATTTCGATTGATATTCATCATCACCATCATCATCTAGCTATAGAAAATGACTCAATGATTTCCTTAATGACCAGTTGGTAGCGGTCTGCAACCAGCGCTTTATGAGGTGGTCGGGCCACCTTAATCATGTTCCATTGATCTTAGAGCTTCAATATTGGTCATAATTTTAATGGTAATTTAAGTTTTTGAGTAATGGCGCATCACATACCTTTAACAATCTTTCGTTTGCTTACAGGCAGCTTGGGTTCCGGCATTGACCACACTACTACTCGAGGCGAGAACGTGGCTGACCTCATAGAAGACACCCTTCAGATCCTGGAACGCTACGGAGGACCTGATGCCTTCATCAACATTAAGTACATGATACCAACTTACGAGTCTTGTGTGCTCAATTAGTATTAAAAAAACAAAAAAAGTCTTAGTGTATTTGGGAGATAAGCGATTTCAAGAACGTATAGGTTGAATTTTCAGTTAGATAAATTCGTAGTTAGAGAGGTCTAAGCCTAATATTAGAACATGTGGCTAGCTTATAATGCTTGACACACAACTTTTAGGTAAATTCACTCTGTGTCTATGTAGTTGATCGATTGTTAAGCAATAATCCTGTAACACGACGATAAACAAAATTTAATGTTAACATAATAGGTAAATTGCACATTTTTAAAGATAAATATATTTATTAGTTCCTAAACTTTACTTTTTGTTGCTTACACAAAAATAATTATTGGCATAATAGAGTATAAATTTGTGTTAATTGATATACCTAAGTATTTTAAGTTTTATTCGTATTCAATTTTATAATAATTGAGCATACGATATTGATATTAAAATAGCTTATAGTAATTCTTAGTGGCCATAAAGATTCTCGTTACCTTATAAAACTTATGACTTGATGAGGACAAGTACAAAATTATATTACAAAATTCATCCTTTTCATTATACTCATGTTTACTCCTTAGATTTAATTGACTGATAGGTGTTAAAATTTGCGCTCTAATATGGCACTGATTATATTATTTTAGTTAATTAGTTTAGTAATCAACTCACTAAATCAATGTATATGGTTTTTATTACAATGAAAATAAAAAAATAGATTGAATGTCACGAGTTTTTTAAACAAAATAACACTGTAGCCAAGAACTTAAACATACTCATTCCACTGCTATTGATGAATAAATATAGTTTTCATTTCCACCAAAGAAAACCATTTTATGGGAAAGGGTGCTTTTTCTCAATACCTACGGTAGAGATCAATATAATGTCGACTATAGCTCTTACTAAAATTACTAAATATGTATAAGGAATCACTTCTTCTATTATGTACAAGCCTGTTAAATTCCAAGTCAGTGATTCGTCTAAAAAACAATCCCCCAAAACGTATCGTTTGACGCCATCTTCCATCTTCAATTGTTTTTCGTGTGAAACAAAACGCCGCCAACCGCAAGCACCGGCCGGGTGTGTCGCGCCGTTCCTACTTCTATTCGCTGCGGTCGCAACGCGGTTACTGCTGATTACTGAGCGCGAATGTTCGCGCGAAAGGCAGAGAATCCAACCGCGAGCTTTAACTTGTTCGGCGACGTGTTGGCGTATAATGAAAGGTAGGGGCACATCAAGCTAATCGCTGTAGTACCTTTGATAATTGTAATAGGCACTATTTTGCAATCAAAATGTGTAGTTGGATGTGATGTCGATATTTTCTGACTAAATTTTTAAAGTTTTCTAAGATTCTACTTGGTTGGTGACTTGGTTTTGAAAACCACGATTTCGCAATGTCACGTAAACAGCTTTGACAAAGTTTTAGGGTTATTATTTTTTTTACTTTCTAAGGTTTATTATAATTGATTGAGGGCATTATTGTTGAATTATGTATTTCATATATTCGCCTATGAGTGTTTTTATTTCAATACAGAGATTGTCTTTAATACTCATTCCTTAGATCGTTTTATCCACGAATACGCGCCCCATGAATTTTTGGTCGAGGGAAGCGCGGGGTGCGGGGAGTTTGATCCGAGCAATCCGAGCGTCATTATTGTATAGTTCCAAAATACTGGACTGTCCTATCGATGACATTGACAGTGGGGCGCCACCGTCAATACCGGATCGCTGGTTTCGATTTTTGCCATGTTGTAAACCATATAGTTGAACGATGGTAGCGCCCCCCTGTCATTGAGTTTGGTGGGACAGTTCAGCGTGGGTCATCTATAGTGTGCATGTGCACTCATTGATAATTTAGCGTGTGCCGATAACACTCAAACATTAGCGCGAGAATGGTGGGGTGCGTCTTCGTGGATGAAACCATTTGTACAGTTCTTTTCGTGTTTCTAGAGACAATATAAATTTTGTTCTGATATCTAAAAACAAAAACAGATCTAGTTGGTCACATTGCAAAATTAATCGCAAAAACAGTTACACCAAGTGATAAAGTAAAATGCAACGCGACTCAACAATATTTTACGGTTAGTACGAAATGTACCAATTATAATAAAATTGTGGTGCAACCCGTACAAATATTGTGTGAAACGTTCTGTATTTAGATATCAGACAAAATAATTTTGCGTTCTACACATTGTATAAGAAATTGTTTTTAAGATGTGTGATCTCTACCATTCAATTTAGATTTATGTATCTTTTAACAAAAGTTAATGTATTTATTGGGAGAAAATTTACTATTTCTGTTATTTATGAAACTTGACACTAATCTTTGGTTAATCGTTAGTTATAATATTTGTCTGTGTATGTAAATGAATATTTTATCTTGTTAATTTATATTAGTGTTGAAAGGTCTAAATAATCGTGTTGTTGATTTGCTAATATTATTTGTACGCTGTTATAATTGTTTAATAAATTACGTGATATGAAACTTATTGTTTTGAATAAATAATAATATTTAGGTACCCCTATCTTGGAAAAACATTTCGGTTTAGTTAGGTGGGTAGGTAAAGATACCTAAGTTAAAGACGTTAGAGATTTCATGACGTCATTGGTCATGGTAAAACGACAAGCAGAGTCCCTTATAAAATATACAAGTTACTTTGGGCGGGTGACATTTGACGTCACGCTCAGCTATTACCATGCAAAGTTTAACATTTCAATACTAGTTTTTCAGAAATTCTATGATTTAACTAAAGTGTTTATTATTTTACATAATTTAGTAACTTTTAAAATCGATGCATATTCCCTATTATACCAAATCTGTTTTCAAACGTTTGGGTTCTCTGCACGTCTACGATCACATACTCTATGTCAATATACACGCTTTGACGTCACGTACCTCATAGCGCCCTTTGCCGATACACGAGCAGCGTGCGAGCAGAAAACTATGTCATACGCTGTATGTGTCAAATGTACATATTTTAAGAGGTATTTCAACGTGCAACGCAGGGTGGAAATTGCAGATGTCAATAGAATCAATGGCAATTTTGAGTTGGAATCGAGGTGTGTAAAGATACATTTGAAGTTGAATGTTTGTTCATTTTTGTAGCTTCTTGACGCAAAATGGATTTTGATAATGCTTTACATAGATAAACTAATACATCAACGAAGCTCATGGGAGATAGTATAAAAACTATAGGCATGTCGCATAACTGAGTAGGTACATGTGACGTAAAGAGCGAACAATGGACACATATTGAAGTCTCACGACATTAATTGGCGTATCAAAAAACATCTTTATCTTTTCTTGAGTCCTACCAGCGCTCGAGACAAACATAATTGGCAAGTGCTGAGAAAAAACGCCAGAACATAACAAAACAAACTATATCTGTAGTATTAATAAAGTATGCAGCATTATTAAAAACTACACAGACGAATAATGATGACGACAGGTCAAATACGAAAGAATCCTACAGAAGGTACCACCAACAAATACATATTTCTCCAACTTCCAAAGAACAAAAGACGAACTGAGATCATACAAAAAACATGTGCGTTCCCTTCGAGAGGCCACTGTGGAAAACGAAGGTTTCGTATACATAAAGATTTAGCAGGACCTTTAAAACAAATGTAGCCATAATGATAAATTTGTAGGTGTTGTAAGTTGGACGCTACAACCTGCCGAATGTGGTCCCTCAGATGAACTATGTCAAATACGAAATTACTGAATCTGACCAAATAAGATGATTTTGATGAATGGTAATATTTAGGAGGCAAATCGTAGGGCTACATACGAAAATAAGAGCTCTGGATAGTTACTGCAAATAAAGAAAATCCAGTCAGACGATGGGCCCTCAGTTCTTCAGTGCACAAATTTTACTTTAATGCTACAAATTGGAACTTAAGACTAAGTTTCTTTGGTAAGGTTTTAATTTTAGCAGAAGTAGTCACAATGCTACCCTGAGAGTACAGGGTTTATATATTACAGACAGACAGACAAAAATTTTACTGATTGCATTTTTGGCATCAGTATCGATCACTAACCACCCCCTGATAGTTATTTTGAAAAGATATTTCATGTACAGAATTGACCTCTCTACAGATTTATTATAAGTATAGATAAAAAAATTAGGTGTAACTCTCATCAATTATATTTTCATTTTTTATATTATCAAGTCATTATTTATTGTAGTTGTAGTAAGAATCAACTATCTCGTGTCAACAATTTGCAACATTAATAAAAAATCCTAGTATCCTATGAATATGTGGAATAGGGGGAGATTGTTATACTTTCATTTGTTTAATTTAGGCTAATTACGATGACAATGATTATCATGAAGTTAACAAATTTTCCATAACATATTACTTTGTTTCAGTCTGTAACAATATTAAAAACATTTTTCATTAAGGATAATCTAAGAAAAATAACATAAAATCAAATAATTTCACCATCCTCCCCTGGAAAAAACAAATGTGGCCCATCCATTAGCCCTAGTTCTGCCCCGTTATAAATGTTGGTCGACTAAAAAGGTGTCGTCTAGATCCACACCGCGTCTGCAGTCAGCTGATAAATGTACCGCTAAGCCGTCGGCGTCGCTCAATTTATATTAATATTTATAATGTATAGGTGTGCACCGTAACTTAACAAGATAAGGCGGCTACGCCAGCCATCTTCAGAAGTAGGTTTGGTACACTTTGCAATTTTGCAGGGTGATTTTGGAACAGTGTATGTAGAATGAATTGCCGAGCGTTAGTTGTGGATTACTCACGCCCCGTATTCACAAACATTACTATGAGGTCTCACAGTGCGCGTGGACGTTCAGGGTGACACACGAACCAATCACGGAGCTCTATTCAATGCTGTGCGTTCGATTTCTGCTTCACTTATGCAAGCATCGTCTGTGAATACGGGCGTCAGTCTCTTTCTTCTTCTGTTGTGTGAATCGTAACACTGAGAAGTGAGTGAGGTTTATAGATCTGTGTGCCTACCATGAGTTTACGTTAGGTGTGCTCGCTAGCGACTGCGTAAAAAAATGACATTTAAATGTATGACATATTGTGCAGCGCCCCTAGCGGCTACTTTCAAGTAATAAAATCTTTATAGAAATTTTTGACGTATTCGCTAGCGAGCTCACCTAACGTAAACTCATGGTAGGCACACTGGTGTATTTATTTATTGAAATACTTTAATGCACAAATATACAAAAGGTGGACTTAATGCTAAAAGCATCTGGCAGTCAACCTTTGAGTCATGCAGAAAGCTGAGGACGGAGCAAGTTAAATACAAAATGTGTAAAAGTGCTTTTCAAAAGCCTACTTGCAAACATAAAATAAGTTTTATGAGTTTTTATGTTTCTAGCGTACTTTATAAGCCGCACTAGCATCTGACATTAGCTCAAGCAAACATAAGCACCAGTTCCTTGTAAAGATTGACCTGTACCGATCAACCAGTTCCTTGTAAAGATTGACCTATTCAAGCTTGTGAATCTATCCTATGTTCATCTATAGGGTAATCTTCCCAACCAATGCCCAGCTCTCCCGAGATCCAAGGACAGTTATTTACACCAGGCCAAAGCAATCTGCAGGGCAGTGCAGTTTGCATTTCGTGCGCCTTTGATAACCATACGCAACCGCCGACGGAGATTGCTCGTCGTATGATGTAAAACCAACGGCTATAACTTTGGTGTATGATACTTTATTAGGATAGGAAAGCGCTGGACGCAGGCCGCTACCAACCGGGTAACATGGAAAACATTGGGGGAGGCCTATGTTCAGCAGTGGACGTCCTATGGCTGAGATGATGATGATGATACTTTATTGAGTATTAGTTTGGAGTTTTAAACCGTCAATCTGTGTGTCCTTGCAGACATGTATGTCCAGACTTTTTGGCGAGTCTCTGAGGACAAATGGCCTAAAAAAATCAAAATAATAAAATATCTCCTACTCTATGACTAAAGTTTGTCACTTTCACCAATATAATCATTTTTGTCTTTCAATCTTACCAAAATCATTTTCATGNCACTTTCATTTAATAATGTTTTCTAGACGAACTGTGTGTCCTATAAATAATTTCAGATCTCATGTAGAGCCAAGGTTCTCTATAACTACACCTCAAAATATGTGGCACTTTTTTCATAAGCCCTCTTAAAATCGAATATTAACATCCTTTTCAAAGCAACTAAGTGCCTAAACGAGACAAACAAAATCGTGAAACAAAAATTAAAACGCAACCTTGCAGCCAGAGCCCTAATCGATTCTCATTCGAATTCTGTCAAATCGGAATACCTAAAAGGAAAAAGGTAAGCAAAAAATCGCGACGATTCATATCGAAACGACTCCGACTGCCATATTTTTCATCATTATGTGCTCATTAAAACGAAGGCAATGCCGTGAAATCGGATCAAGGAAGAGGGAACAGGCCAATATTTTATTCAACAGTCGGTGCCTTATTCATTTCAGTTGGAGTCGGAATAATTTATTGTGATTATTATAGTGCTTTGTGATTTTTACTTCGCAAAAACTATTGTAAGATTTGTGAGTAGATTTTTTGTAAGAACAGATTACGTGGTCGTTCATTTAAGCAAACAATGTAAACTAAAACTATAACAGACAGATAAAGA